ATATATATATATATATATATATATATATATACACAGTATATTTATTTATTTATTTTTCTTCTTCTAAATGCAGAAAAAATTTATGAGTTACTGCTTTGTTCATAGGTTTGATATTGGAGCTGAGATGGCATTTCTAAAACAATCTACAGTAAATAAGTGGAGATACATGTTTTGGTGCCTTGTTTTGGTTTAATTTAAGTATCTGAGTTGCTGATCAGTTCTGGTGATAACTATTTCATTAGCTATTTGCTTGATTATTGGGTTATTATTGGATTTTTTTAATTGTGATTTTGTTGAGCAGATTTTTAGTGTTTGTATTTATAAAATTTTCTTAAAACTTCATCCATCCATACATTATCTTTACCCACTTCTTCCTTTTTGGGTGGCAGGGATCATTAGTGCTCATGTCCAGCCATCACTGTGCAAGAGATGAGGGACACCCTGGACAGGTCGCCAGTCCATCACAGGGACACATAGAGACATATGAGTCAAACAACCATTCACTCTCTCGCTCACACCTATGGACAATTTAGTTACCAATCGGTCTAACATGCATGTTTTAGTCTGTGGGAGAAAACGGGGATACCAGGAGAACACCCATGCATGCACGGAGAGAACATGCAAACTCCACCCAGAAACGCCCCTGGGCTGGGATTTGAACCGGGGGACCTGCTCGATGAGAGGCAGCAGCTCTACAAACTGTGTCACCATGCTGCTCCTACTTAAACTTGCAAACTCTTTTCAAAGGTTTATGCACAAAACATGCATAAAACATATTTTAAATGCTAAATATTGTTTTAAGAGCACAATTTAGATGAAAGTGCTGAATAAAAAAGGGTAATCTTTTCCCCCAAAATAGATATCGGCCTGCACAAAAAATATGAGTTGAAAGCAAGTAAAAATGAAGTGAAATGCATTTGATAAGCACTTAACAAACCTTAAAGTTGAAGCTGATTCGAGCAGAGTTCCCTGCTCTTATTACCATAAAGTTCTTCATTTTTCTGTCAGTGAATTGAGGTCTTACTGTAAGAATGAAATACATAAAAAAGACAATTTGAGAAATTATTGAAATGAAGTCTCATTACATTTATTGACTCACCTGGGGGAGGCATTGCGATGATGTAGTTGTCTAACTCTTGAGGCTCGCCATCTCCACCCTCATTGGTAGCTATAACTCTTACCCAATACATTGCCATAGACTTCAGACCCACAATATTAAAAGAAGTCATGACAATCGGGTTGGAGGTACAGCGATCCCATTCTGGGGTTTCTGCTGGTCTAAGTTCCACAAAGTATCCCTTGGCCTCATCTTGGACACCTTCTTCTTCTGAGGGTTTTGTCCAGCTCAGTGACAAGGTAGTGTATGTAGAGTCTGTCACCTTGAGGTCAACGACTTTACCAGGAGGTTCTGAGAGTGGAAACAGCATGGAAGGCGTGCACTGAAACTGAAGATACTAATGATGCTTAACTGTTTGTTAAATTATTACTCACTCTTTGGATCTCTTGCTATTACAAATTCAGAGGGTGTACTTGGCTCACCAACACCAGACGTGTTGATAGCTGATACTCTGAACTCGTACTCAATACCTTCAACAACATCTTTTACTCCGTACTGTCTTCCTGTTGGCATAATAAACTTGGAAGTAATCTTATTTTAAAACAAATCTCACCTCACCATGTCTCAGATGTGTTAAATTGTAAACAAAACAGGACTAACCTTTGATGGGCTCTTCAGGTGGGTTGACAATGTTCCACAAATTACTGCCATTCTTGCGTTTCTCCACATTGTATCCCAAAAGATTTGTTCCACCTGTATTTGTTGGTGCAGTCCAAGCGAGATTGATACAGTCTTTGAAAGCGCCAACAATTTTTGGTGTAGATGGAGGTCCAGGATAGGCTAAAGAAGTGGTCAAAAAGATAATGTAACAAATAAAAATGTTTCTCCAGACATACTGCGTTTAGCACTACTAAGGTATCTCACTACTAAGGTATCTCACCCTTTGTCCCTGCCTGTATGTCATCAGTTTCCATCATTTCACTGACGCCTTGATCCGTTTCAGCTCTGATGTGGTAACAGTATTTTCTGCCATGATCCACATCTGTGTCTCTGTATTTAGTCTCTGGGCCAATCTTGCCCAGCTTTGTCCAGCTGTTGCGACCAATTTGCTGGCGCTCGAGAATGTAGTTGGTCACAGGACATCCACCACTGTCTTTGCAAGGTCTCCATTTGAACTCAATGCAAGAAAAAGAACTTTCAATTATATCCACTGGACCCTGAGGAGGCATTGGTTTATCTGTTGTATAGAAAACAAGGCATCTGTAATTATCTGATTTATCTGACTGGAACATTATATTTTTGAAATGCAATTTTAAAACATTACCTAATACAATAAGTTGTGTGATGGCCTCAGTTGTTCCACATTCATTTTTTATTTTAATCTTAATTTCGCCACTAGTTCTGCGCTGACATTTGGTTAGCAGTAGTCTGCTATGTGAGGAAGACTTTTCTATCTTGATGTTGTTCTCTTCCATAAGCTCTTCGCTGTCATTGTACCACTGGATTTTCATGGGTTCACGACCAACAAATGGTAGCTTGAAGGCAGCATCTTTTCCAGTTTTGATCATAATGGGTTTCATAAACTCAGCAAGGTCATTGGGGTTGATTCTTGGAGGATCTAGTTTAAAAAGACAATAACAAAAAAAAAGATATACAGTAAAATATTTATCGAACTTAAAATAGGTACTTGAATAATTAAAAAAAACATGTCTGGCATGGCACAATTTCATCTTAGCTGCCCTCTTATAACATTGAGGTGGGTTATTTTCATATTTATCATTACATTACCTTCAACATTTAGCACTGCTTCAGTTTTACGCCCATCAGCTTCACATTTATACTTTCCAGAATCATCCTCTCTGCAGTTTTTGATAATCAGTTTGCGATAAGTTCCATCTGTAACTATATCAATATTGTCTGCTTCTGTTATCTGAAATGGACATGCAGATGTAAGCATTCGAACACTTCACAGGGTTAAATGTGAGATTATTTTTAAACTCCTAAATACTTTGCCTCTTTTCCATCTTTGTACCATACAGCATCACAGTTCTCACTGCTGAGCTTGCAGAGCAGTTCTGCATCCGTGCCGATGATAGCAGTTACATCCGACAGACCACTGGTGAAGTAAACCACTGGGTCTAAAAAAACAGAAACATACAACCTTACTGTCTGTTGGGAATGGAGAGTATCCACTAAGCACATCGCTATCTAGAATAAAATGGATGATAGCCAGAAGGAAATCTGTGTTGTTTTGTATCTCACCAACAGCAGTTTCTGGAACAAGCGGGCCTGTTCTCACTCTTTTTCTTTTTTCTTGAACAGGCTCCTCTTCTTCAGCACTACCAGTACTTTTCTCCTCATTTACTGGTACAAGTTCTTCTGGTTTTAATATGTTCTCCTCTTCTTGCTCTACTACTGTAGGTTCTGGTATAGCTACTTTTTTGGAATCTGCTGCCACTTCTACTTTTGGTTCTGCTTTTACTGGCGACAATTTCTTTGGTTGGATTTCAGATTGAACGCTTGGTTCTGGTTTAGGCTCACATTCAGGTGTTTCATTTCTTACTTCATTGGCTCCTGCCTCCTCCTTCTCCTCCTCCTCCTCCTCCTCCTCCTCTGCTCTTTTCTTTGTTGCAATCATTTCCTCTCTCTCTTTTTGTAACTTTTCCTGTTGCTCCTGGGCAATCCTGAGTAGATCATCTCCACCACCGCCTGCACGGGTCGTCTTACGGGCCTTCTTCTTTCCAGCCATGTTTGGATCCTTGTCAGCTATTAAAGAAGTACAAAGTATCAGAAAAAATGGTATTGTTTGACCAAACTTTTAATACTCAAAAGAAAACTAGCATTGTGTTCTATTTGCATTTTCATTTAGATACATTTTTTTAAAAACAGAAACCACATGCACTAAAATTCAAATAAAATCAAAACCATACCCTCCACTAAAAGCCAGGCATTGCAGGACTTAATTCCAGCCACGGCTGCGTAGATTCCTTTGTCCAGAAGCAGACAGTCCTTCACCACCAAAGTGTGAATCAGCATGTCTTCTGATACAGTTATATCATATTTGTCTCCTTGCTCCAGTGGATTATTCTTGCCCACCCATGAGATTTTCTTCATTGGGTGAGAGAGGACACACTGAAACACAGCATCTTCTCGTTCCTGTGCTTGCACATCCTGAATCTTAACCAAGAAGTCTACAATTGGAACTAAACAAAACAAAACAAAACAAAACAAAACAAACAAACAAACAAACAAACAAACAAAAAACAGAATGAGTTTAGGATTTTAGTGTCAAATCATGTAGCACTATTCTCACAACATATTGACCCATTGGTATTGACCCATGTCAAGTGGCAAGTGGCTTTTTTTGTTGTTGTATGAACCTACTTTTTAATTCAGTTGAAAAGATTTTAACTCCATCAATTTCTAGTTGGTACATTCCTGCATCTTCAGGATTAACACCGTTTATGCTGAACACAAATCTCTTTCCCACTCGCTTAAGTCCATGTTTTGCTTCTGTGTCCACATCAAAAGGAACCATCACTCCATCCTGTTTTAACATAAGTTGCCATTAAATTTGTTAATATAAAATGCATGGCTTTAAGGGTTACCAAAGTGTACTGTTTATTTCACAGAGATTTTGTTTAAACATCTTAGAAAAACAACAATGTAAAAAAATTTGGATGTCTCACCTTAAACAAAAATATTTTGCTGTTGGGGTCTTTGAGTGACATTTCAAGTTCGAACTCTGCTGCACCACTTGGTTTCAGTTCAATGGGTTTCAGGTTACAGAGTTTTTCAACAACCTAGAGGGATGAAATTAGTAATGAAAGAGAATGCTGAGTTAATTAAATGAGTGTTGGATATATATATATATATATATATATATATATATATATATTTTTTTT